CTCTAGAGTAAAAAACAACGTCTTCGCGCTGCTTCTATCAGAACCTTCAGGTTTTTCCGTCAGCATGGGCTAAATCTGCCTTCAGCGCCTCCGCTTTTCAGCTTCCTATGGAACACCACACCCGTGGGCTGACCGCTACGACAGCCGAGTCGAGCCGACAAATCCCTGGGCCCGTCTGGGCTCAGCCGAACTGAAGCCTGCTCTCTTCGAGAGAGCAATCACCACGCATTTCGGCGTTGCCAGGATTGGTGTGATCATTGGCTGTTCTGAGCACGGAGCGATCACAATATGCGTGCTCCTAGTCGATCATTTGCTATTGTCTGCGTATGACTGCACGCTCATTCGCGCATGTGCTTTGGAATCGCCAACCCCCCAGGGACAGCGGTGCCTCCCTCGATCCCTCCGCACGGCTTCCAGGGACAACGGTGCCTCCCTCGATCCCTCCGCACGGCTCCCAGGGACAGCGGTGCCTCCCTCGATCCCTCCGCACGGCTCAGACAGGGCCAGGGACAGCGGTGCCTCCCTCGATCCCTCCGCACAGCTCCCAGGGACAACGGTGCCTCCCTCGATCCCCCGCGCGGCTCAGACAGGGGCAGGGACAGCGGTGCCTCCCTCGATCCCTCCGCACGGCTTCCAGGGACAGCGGTACCCCTCGATCCCTCTGCACGGCTCAGACAGGGCCAGGGACAGCGGTGCCTCCCTCGATCCTTCCGCACGGCTCCCAGGGACAGCGGTGCCTCCCTCGATCCTTCCGCACGGCTTCTAGGGACAGCGGTACCTCCCTCGATCCCTCCGCACGGCTCAGACAGGGCCAGGGACAGCGGTGCCCCCCCTCGATCCCTCCGCACAGCTCCCAGGGACAACGGTGCCTCCCTCGATCCCCCGCGCGGCTCAGACAGGGGCAGGGACAGCGGTGCCTCCCTCGATCCCTCCGCAAGGCTCAGACCAGGGCCAGGGACAGGCGGCGCCTCCCTCGATCCCTCCGCACGGCTCAGACAGGGGCAGCAACACCGTGCGGGACGTGGGGGATGCGTCCCCCTTAGCTCCGAGAACATGGAGGGACTGCTCCCGCAACCTCAGTGAGACCAACGAACGTGTGCTGCAAGGTTGACCTCAGCAGCAACCGATCTGTGTGCCTGCGCGGCAAGTATAGTCCTTTGTGAACATCTACGATTGTAGCCGGAGTACATTGTACAAGGGCAACGCTGTAAGCTGTCACGTTAATATTTGTCAAAAGTATTGGCTGTATTCCAGAAAACCGATCACGTACGATTTAACGCGGTGACTCGGATAAATGAATTACACTGATTCACTGGAACCGTTACACTGCTTTTGACATCTGCTTGCAGTTTGCACTTCTCGGTACGATATGGCGGGACAATGTTTGAGGCTCGTCTGAAACTCGTGGCGCGGCTGTGGTATAATGCCTAGCTGCGTTGTTTGGTCGTTTTGAGGGGATTCGTCAACCTTGATTAAACATTCAGACCTTATCGGAGAACTACATCGCTGCATGCACCAAACATACCGTTTGATAACGTGCAATGTTTCTGGCGTTTAGGTCAGGCCTATCTTGCAGGATGGTCTGTTATAATTTTGCAATGCTAATGACAAACTGACTCAGATGAAATAAAAAACATTTTCATCATGTGAGGAAAATATATTCAACGGAGATCGTAGACGTGCAAAAATACCAATGACCAACAATTTATTGAAAAGCATGCATATCGCGGTCCCGTCACTTGCCACACACATTTTCTCTACCATAATTACAACAAACTCATCTCACTGCTGATGTTAACCGTGCATTTGTCTGCATGTAATTGAAAACAGTTTTGCTTTTTGGCCTCCACCGCAAAAAATCAAAGCTGTTACTACCACCCTGTTTCTTGATTAAACTACATATTTTTGCGAATACCTTGACTCTAATCTTTTGTCCATGCGCGACAACGTTGGTTAAAGTGGCGGGAAAGGCATAGGTGAGTTGATGGTCCACATTATACAGTAATAAAACAACTCACCAGGAGCGTGGCAACATGGGTCAGTATGTGACTTACCATCTAAGGTAAGCACGCAAATACGCAACTTTCAGTGGCCGACATTTTTACTACAAAGACCCATTGTTATATTCGCGAGATGACATCGTGCCTGACATCAAAATGCCACCTTTAACCATCAGTTACGGTAAGACCTGTGGTCAAGATGAATTAAGAATAACGGTAAGTTGTAAAAAAATAGTCAAAAGCAGTGAATAAAGCATTAAAAAGTAGCACGACCGCAAAGATTTGGAAGAAATATCCACTCACAGTTTGCGCGTCACACCAGAGTACCAAACACCAAAACCAATGAAAAAACAAAAACAGCACACCACAGCAGCATTGTTTGGCAGGGAGGCGCTGTGGCCTAAATCCAAACACAAATCGGAAATTGGGGGCAGGTCATAAAATTTGGCCGAATGGACTGGGCCAAACCGGAGGGCTGGATCTGCCAGTGTAGCCGGGTGTCTACCAACCCATAGATACGTATGTCCGTCGCATAAAGTAGCGCGCTTACCGACACGAGGTCAGCCCTACCCCGCGTGATTAAATATAGTAGTTTCATACAATCAGCTCAAATCATAACAGCTCAGAGCATGAACGAAGCATTTAACTAGACAACATTGACCGAAAAGCGCGCACAGGCTCGGGAAGGTTAAACAGAAGAACTTCTGATTACGTGGTTGACCTATATCATTCATGGGCAGCTTAGCAACAACATGAGTAACAACATAGACAACACGTCACGAGCATTACCACTCCCCCTTGGCGAGTCCAAATCTTTTCGAAGTACCCTCCAGCACCTGAGACCCACTGGGGCATTCGGCCTCATTTTCTCCTTGATCAGCGGAACGACATTGTTGTAAATGAACGTGACAGGTGTGTCATCTGTGAGGAGATGGTGCTGCTCTGGCGCGCGGGCTTAGCAGCTACCCGAGCAGCGACGGAGCCCCAGGGTCAGAGGCTGCCGCCTGCCCGAGCAGCCGACGGAGCCTCATGGGCAAGAGGCTGCCGCCTGCCCGATCAGTGGCGGAGCTCCAAGGCAGAGGCTGCCGCCTACCCGATCAGTGGTGGAGCTCCAAGGCAGAGGCTGCCGCCTGCCCGATCAGTGGCGGAGCTCCAAGGCATAGGCTGCCCCCCTGCCCGATCGGTGGCGTGCTCCAAGGCAGAGGCTGCAGCCTGCCCGATCAGTGGCAGAGCTCCAGGGCAGAGGCTGCCGGCCTGCCCGATCAGTGGCGGAGCTCCAAGGCAGAGGCTGCCGCCTGCCGAGCGTTGGGGGGAGCCAAAGCAAGGGCTGGCCGCCTGCCCGATCGGGTCAGAGCTCCAGGGCAGAGCTGCCGCCTGCCCAGAGCGTTGGGGAGCTCCAGGGCAGAGGCTGCCGCCTGCCCGAGCGTTGGGGGAGCTCCGGGGCAGAGGCTGCTGCCTGCTCTGGCGCGCGGGAGAGGGACCCACGGTCTGGTCCTCCGCTCCCCGCTGGCCGTGTCGCCACTTCGCTAACAGACCACATGCAGGTGCGTGGAGAGCTGGCTAATGATCCGCAGCCAATACACCGACTTCCAGCACCGGGACGGATCAGCGCTGGCCCCCGTCGCATGGCCGGGCGAGTGAGTGGTGCGGGCGGAACGCCGTGGGGAGATAGGATCGCGGAACGCCTGTTCTTGTCACTATCGTCCTTCGGGTGAAGCGCTCGTCTCGCCATCTTTCTTTCCTACCCGTCTCCCTCTCCCTCTCCCTTTCCCTCTCCCTCTCTTCCCTTCCCGTTTCCCTCTCCCTCTCCCTTTCCCTTTCCCTCCTCTTCTCCCTTTCCCTCTTCCCTCGCTTTCCCTTGCGCTCTCCCTCTTCCAAACAACACCTCCAAAGCCACGGTAAAACATCTGGGAATCGAGAAATGATGTCCGTCCGGCGCTGTCTCTCATCATTGCAAAGACATGAGAAGTTAGGGAAGCGCGCTCCACTGCCCGCAGGAGCTGCTGGGCCGCCAACGATTCCACTAGCACGCCGCAGCCGCTCGCTCATCGCCCCCCCCCCCCCCCCCCCCGGTCGTACTCGTGAGGGAGGACTGCGTCCGGATGGCCTCTGTTCCGCCGCCGGCCGTCGTCACGGGAGGCCAATGACGCTTCGGGACGTCGCAGGGGCCTCGTCCGCCATCAGAGGCGCGGCGCACGTGGCGCCACCATGGCTGAGTGGGTGGTCCCTGCGCTCAGGCCATGAGTGCCGGCACGCATTTTTGGTTTTGGGAACAGGGACAAGTTGCGCACGAAGGGTCTAGGTCAGCCCCGTTCACTAGTGTAGGATCCCGGTCTGTGGAAGAAGGCATACAGCATTGGCTGCTCTGACCGGTCGTTTACAAACGCTGCAGCCAGGATTAACTATCAGCGCGACATGTGAAGCTGCTTAACTACCCCCCTGCATCTGCTATCATCGGCGTTAACACGTGGAAAAAAGTTGGGGCAGTTGTCTTTGCAGGCGTGCAGCATCCGAGGATCAACCGTCACCGACAAGGAAACGGAATATTTCGCTTGGCTGTGGTCGTCTGGTACTGACGTCTACTGGAAATTCTCTCCCCCTCACCCCGCTAAAGATGCCACGAGGTCGGAAATCTGTGTTTTGTTGCTGCTTTATCACGTCTCCAGCTACATTCTACCTCATCGCCTGCGCCGTGCAGAAAACAGGGTGTAAACATCACGCCAGGTACAAAAAGGCTGTCACGGTTTGCAGTTCCAAATTTATTGAGTTCCTCTTGGGAAACGACAAGAAATTGATCGGTGCGTGGTGACTGGAAAACCAAATTTTCCGTCCCAGTGCGAGCCAAATCCGGGCATCGCGTAGGGGCAAACGGACGCGGTGAGACCGCTGAGAGAACGTGGCGACCCTGCAAGCACCCCAAATCAGGAAGCTGCGGCCGTCGATGGTCCGCGCGACGCGGGAGTGGTGTCCAACGCCGCGCCGTCGCCGCGCGTGGCGTCCCTACTCGCGGATGTAGACTTCGATCGAGACCATGTGCAGAAGTTTGTTGTCCTCGCGAGCCAAAGCGCCAAGGGGAGAGTCTGGGTCCATAGGCGTTGGTTGTGAGCAGATTGGGGCCGGACGGTGGCATGTACAGCATGGAAACGTTCCAGCACGCATCGCTCGTGAAATCGCCGATGGTTGAGAGCTTCATCACACGTGGTTCTGAACCCAGCAGCCTGTCTTCGCGGTGCGCCTCAAAAGCCAGATTCCAAGGCAAGTTCGCTTCGATGAAGATCCTGTAGGTGGCGTTTGTTCCCGACTGCGATGTCTTCAGCCAGCCCCAGGATCGCGTATCCGTGTATGTAAGAGCTCAGCTTCGCTGTGCGTTTGTGTCCAAAATGGCGGCGTGTTGCTGAGCGGGAGTAAAGGGACATTTCGCAGCAGTCGTGTAGCACCCCTCGTAACCGGGCCACATCCGGCAGGCGAGCGGCAGTTCCTGGCCCTGACCCAGCCGTACATTCTACCGACGTAGCCGCCGTACCTGTCACCAGCGCCGAAGGTGTTGTAGATGACGCGGCAGGTGACTACCTGCAGGTCCGTGCAGACGCGACCACCGACAGGCGTCGCCGGTCTTCTGGCAGTCCGAGTCGCTGCGGCAGAACTGCTCGTGCAGAGAGCGACCTGGCATGACGAAGTACTCCCAGCCGTCGTCCGGCGTCAGCGTGCCGTAGCTGGCGACCCCGCTGTACAGCCGACACTCTCCGGACCAGGGGTGGAAGCCGAGACTGGCGCAGCTCGCGTTCTGGTGACAGAGGCCGCAGCAGACGCAGCTGCCGCCGACAGCCTCGCGCAGGCTGAAGGCTGCCATCGCGCTGGACCCCAGGTGGCCGCGGCCCCAGGCCGCCTCCATGCAGGAGTCGGCCGAGCGCAGTGGTACCAAAGCCGCTAGCCACAGCCAGAGCGGCGCGCACGCGCTTAGGGCGGCGAACATCGCGCTGCTTCGGATGTTGGGTTTCTTCCGCAGGGCTGTGCTAGTTCCTGAAAAGAGAATGAGGGTTCGGAATAAGGATTTTTTCTCGATTCCACGTGGTGTCGTGGTTACTTCCAGCACCAGCCAGCCCTGGACTAATGCGAATCGAAGGCGGGATAAGCTAGCAGAGTTCTCAAAAACGGCCGATGATGTCGTTCCCACGGTCCATACGGTCAATCCACCGATAATGAAGGAAAATTTTGTTAATTTTTTGTTCGTAAGTACGCACAGGATTCCTTACGCTTTGTATGATGTCTTGACCAGACCCATCTCACTTGTTCCCCACCATGTTGCAATATGTTTGACGACAGATTCTCGACCGTCCTTGACGCCCGTTATACAACCGGCTAATTTTTTCGATGGTTCCGGTCTAAGCCGGGGGTTCACACCTATTTGCTAAATGGAGGGATACACTATTGTCGCCTGAAAGTTGGCATCCCCAACCCATTGGTCATGCCAAAAGATGGATGGCCGGCCACCCAGTACCACCAGGAGGATATGATACAGGGTATCGATATAGGGTATACCCTGTGTACAGGGACAACAGGGTATATCCCTGTATACAGGGATACAGGGGTATACCCTGTATATGTACAGGGCATATATACAGGGGTAGACGGTGTCGAGCGTCCATTACAGCGTATTTGAAGATGCTACCGTTTCAAATTGTGCCGCAGGTGAATCACCGCTCGACCAGTAGCGACACGTCTTCGATGGCTTGGCTTGCGCAAGCCGTTCCCCCACCTGCACGAAAAGTGTCCTCGCTGCTAGATAGCTTAACATACTCCCTCTTACGCGCCCTGCATCCGAACACCAGCGTCGAGTCAGGTGAATCTACATCATGACAAGGTCACAAGCAGAGTGCGAAGTGTGACAAGTTCACCGCGGCAAGACGCAGCAGCACGTCGCTGAGCGGCGGGTCCAAACAGTGCGAACACAGAACACAAGCGCGTGGACGGACACCCGTACGACTGCCATTTGATTGTTTCACCATAGAGAACTTTCCGCTTGCTCCCTTGCGGCGAAAGGCGACGCCGGTGACGATGGCGGCGCCACCACTGACGGCGCAATAGCTACCTGTTCTTAACAGCTTAGAAATATCCCGATCAGTATTTTCTAAGCTGTTTAGCGTTCGTTCTTCTGCGATTGTAAACCCCCAGTGCATCAATTGGACGAGCTGTCGCGATGCGCTGTTCATTTGCTTGGTTTTTGCGCCTCTCTTTTCTGCGGCAAGTGCGAACACTGCTTCTCTCCTATGCCCCAAGCCCTGTCTCCTCCTCGTAAACGCTGTGTGCGACGCAGGTGTCCGATGAGTGGCATCGGTTATGTCGTGGATCTTTACACGGGGTGAACAGTATGCCGATGGTTTGCAGTCATTCGGGTCACCGCATCCCCTGGGGCATCTGGCTCAAAATGAGGACAGATGGACTGTCTAATAATCCAAATTAATTGCACAGATAATGCGATATGAAAAAAATTTAGCTCGGAAATTCGATATTCGACTTGCACAATAGCAAACGTCATGTGAAAAACGGCAAATAACGAAAAAAAAAGACAGTCAGTAAGATCTGATGTTTTGTTCTTGCATTTCGGCGGCAATTCTAAACGTTTTTTGCGACATGCGCGCACTTTTTGACAATGCAAATCCAGATATCCACCCAACTCAGCGCGTCAACCATGCTTTATGTCATCAATCGCATCCATGAGTAGGCTTTGTTTAGCATTCACACATTCACGACAACCCAATCACTTGCATTTCTCCACGTCTTGCCAACACACATTTTATTTTCATTTTACCTGAATGCCCATAGGTTCCCTCGTCTGCCCATTTGTTGCAGCCAAAGATAAAACGTAAGCCCAACTGCTGCTCCTCTTCCACCGTCCAGTCCGGATTTCTGACAGCGTTCAAACTCTGCGTCCACGGCCTGTTACCTTGATTGGACCGCCGGGAGGGAATGTGTTGAAACGTCTCGTGCACAGTCGGCGGGTGGTTGGAGACAACCACGGCGACCGAGGCGACCGAGGCGACCGAAGCGAGGCAACCGTCCGGCCCCCCAGGTGAGGCGCGAGTGGGTCAGCCTGCTGGCAGACCGGGGTGCCAACACTGGAAACACCATCGATTCGGACCTCCTGTGGCTGCCGGTGTGCGCCGCCAAGACTCGCCGACTCAGTCACCTGCCCGCCGGTTGGACACACGGCTGACGTGGTTCGCAGCCACAGAAGATCAATGAGCCGAAAGTTTTTAAGCGCCTTCATATGCGCTGGAGGAAATAACGGCTTTCAGTTTCAGGGGACACGTGAAACGAGTCACCGCTCTTTTTAACTGTACACATGTGGAGGGAAAAGCTTGCAGATCAGTCGCCTGACTTGTACTGAATAACCAGGTGCGTTTACTACCCTTAATCATTCCAACAAGATTATTCTCCGCCATTAGTTTTGATGTTGAAAATGACTTCCTTGAAGATGCCGGGACGGGTGCCGGTCAAACCACGATATCACGCGATCATTATGTTACACTGCATGTTAAGAGAATACCTAAAATACTCCATGCACCTGGTCACGTGGTGTCCATGAATGAGCACCGCCTTGAACGCCGATCATTTTCATAGTACCTTCTGATGACTGTTCACATCTTGTTTAAACCGGTACCTGCTGATATGCTGAATGTCGGCCGTTTCAGCGTAAAAACCGACACGACCAAAATACCAAGAGTCTTGTCTTGCTTATGTGAATGCCGCCTCTTTGCAACTCCAAAACACAGAAATGCCACTACACTGCTTTTTTCGGCTCGGAACTTCAACCAGCGCGAGAGGCCTTCTGGTATCCGGAACCATCCCCGTCCTGTTTAAAACAAACGTTCTGTTGGCAGACTCGAGGCCCCTTGTTTGACTCAGACATCCGGTAAGGCACTGACCTGGACCTTCACAGAAGTCTCGTATTGTTGCAGGGGCCCCGACCAATGGAAATTATGGGTCCGGGCTCTAAGGGCCCATTTCCCTGCTTGGGAAATGGGCCCTGAGCTCGGCTCGACATGGGGCCGACTGTTCAGTATTGGCGGTTTCTGGCCGAAATACAGGCCCACACTGTCCTACGACTCCTAATTGATACAAGAGGCTCTCTGGCTGGCATCTGAGGTCGCGGCTTTACGGGCGGGGCCGTCCTTTTTGTGGCTTACGGCCAGTTCTTTGAGCCCCCGGTCCTTTCAGCCAACAAGGTGAGACACTGATCTTTGGTCCCGTGGGTCCCTTCCACTACCCGCCTGGCTTCCTAAAAATGAAGTCTGTGACGGACTTGGGGGTTACTTGCCGACCCACGGCCCCGTCTAAGGTCCTGTGGCCCCTGACAGACACAGGGGCCCCGAACATTGTTTCATGGACCCAGACCAATGCAAATCGTGGGCCCGGCTTCACTTTTACTTAGAAAATGGACCACCAGAGTTCAGACCAACAATTAGTCAACTGTTCGATGTGTGTAGTCTCTATCATAAGCGCCCGCATTGTCTCAGGGGGTCTTCAATCGGTGCAAGAGGCTCTTTGATATTATGTCATCGCCATTGCGTGTGGGGTCCCTTATGAGATCTGTCCCCCGGCCTTCGGCCCTTATGCCCTCCAATCTGGCTCTTGGTCGTCAGTTTCAGCGGCCTCCGGGCCCCTCTTTCGGGCCTCATCGGGCACCGCCCTCCGTCGATTTGGGCCCTTTGTCAACATAGGGGCCTCTGTTAGTCACTGTGGTTCCTGACGGATACAGGGGCCCCGACCAGTGTAAATCGCTGGCTTTAATCGCAGGCTGGGAAGTGGGCCCTCAGACCTACACCAACACGGAACCAACTGAGCGGTGCTGGTGGTGCTTGACCAACATATCTACCCTTTATCGATTCAGGAGTCCACAATCGGCGCAAAGGGCGCTCTTACTGTCAGCGAGGGCCGGTCCCCACAGACTGGGACCCTGAAGAAGACCCTGGCGAGCCCTTCATGCCCTTTGGCCCTCCAATTAGGCCCCTGAACGCCGGTCTCGGTAGGCTCTCTTGGCTCTCTTCAGTCTTCGTCGGGACACGGCCTCTGGCCGAATCGGGGCCCCTAGCCAACGAAGGGCCCCTGTCGGGCACTGCGTGCTTCTGACAGAGGCTGGGTCCCCTGCCAATGTAACCCGCTGCCCCGGCCCATTCCCTGGCTGGGGAATGGGTCTTGAGGTCCTTGCCGACACGGAGTCGACTGGGCGGCACTAGTGGTGTTTTAAGACGCATGCCAACATGGAAGCCGGTTTTACTCAGCAGTACCTGTTTAGCGCAAAGGGCCCTAACGTAAGGTTTAGGGAGGGTTAAGAGAGTAATGCGTCCTGGAAGTGATGTGAGCAATGAAACACAAATAAATGCTCTTTTAGAAAGCTCATCCAGTCTATCATAAAACTACCAATAGTCCAATAACCCCACGCTGATTTATACTATGGAAACGCTATCACTTTTGCGATTCAAGGTATTCCAAAAGGTTAGGCTGCAAAAATGTTAGGCATGTACATGGTGCAAATATATCAAAAGGCTGGGCGGGCTCACATCGGGGAGCATCTCAACACTACAGCCTTAATTCGGCGGTCATTTGACGTTTTTGGTTCTTCCTCCACGATGTTGGGAGCAGGGAAAACGACGAAACTTCGTCACGTCAGACAGGGCGAACCAAGCTTGCTTTCCGCGGGACTCATACCCCATAATCAAAATTTTCCCTTGGCGCCGCTTTCTGGCCGGGTGTATATGGTGGGTCTTGGTGGATTCAGCGTCAGACTCGACTGTGGCGACCAGCTTCGAGCGCATATTATGTTATTATGTTGACATATTATGTATGGTGTGCACTGTTGGGAGTCAGTTAAATGCCTCACACTCGCACGTAAGACCGATAACATGTCGCCAGCCTTCACAATGGCAATGTATGCCACTGCCATGTGTTCAGTTTTTTTCCCAGCATTTCCATTCGTCAGTTATTTTCCCAGCACTGGCAGCTATTCAGTCTGTAGCTACTTCATGCATGAAAATCCGCGTCCATTCAGCGTTTACAAAGCTGTTCGTTTGCGCACACCACAGCCAGCCAGGTGCACTCGTTCACAGATCCTTGGTCTCCGACGCTGGGCTAACCTTTGCGTGGCTGACCAGCTACGTTTTGAGCTGTCTGCCCCGTGTTTTCAGTCCCATTTCAACCTGACCCTCTCAGGGGTTCTCAATCTGCTCTGGGCGTCAACGTTGGCACCGTCTATGTGCCGGCTGGGTCTTACAATCCAAGCGGTCGAGTGCGTACATTCGAGTGCAGTATGCCCTTCATTGCAGGGATGCTCTCAAAACACGTTTCTAGCCTTTTGAATGGAAAGCGAGCTTGCAGCGTTGAAGGTGCTCAAGCGAATCTTTCAAATAAAAAGAAGCCTAGCGCTATTGCAACCGTGCACTGATTGTCAGATGTGCTATTGCAACCGTGCACTGATTGTCAGATGTGCTATCGGCTTGAGGTGGAACAAGTGTCAGTTAATGGCGGTCACAGCTGACCGTCCCCCTGGCAGAACTCCGTGGGACTTATGATATTTTCACGGCGATTCGTGCTGTGGGGTCGACGAGAACGTGATAATTCATGGGAAACCAGTGCATTCGTCCAGAAACTGTAACAGTGATGAATGAGACCTCAGAGAAATGGGACCCATTTGATTGCGGTCACGATTCTCTACATGCACGAAATGCTAAGATACAGATGAAATATGCGTTTTAAATACGCTACGTATTATGTTGTGCAGAGGCTCACGCGCGTTGCTTTCCTCTGCCAAGAAGGGAGGGAGCTGTGTTGTAGACATCCATAATGCACAACTTGCCATGCAGATTTACAACCGAACGATTTGAGCCTGCGACGCAACACGCGACCCAATGATAGGTCAAATAATAGATCATGCGATGCATTGATAGGTCCGGTGATAATTTTCATGTCTCGGTTGTGTGCCCTTTGCTTGAATCATCAGCTGCGGTTTTTCAAAGAGTGCATTAGGTTATGGAGCGTCTCAAAGGTGTGCGTGAGAGGGGCAAGTGAATAGCCTACTTTATTCAATGAATGAGACCCACTTACTATCCATTAGGATCATTTAATCGAACACCTAATCTTGAAACAAAACAAAAAACTGAGGTTGTGTAAGTCGGCTGAGTTGGAAATAAACGTGAGACTTCTTAATCAAGAAATTGCCATTCTGACTCAAAGACAACCTGCGGTGCTTAAACGTCCGCGCACGGTAACGTGTGTTCTCGTGCCGGTGCTGGCTGGGCCGGCTTCGTCGGCGTCGACGGCCGATCCCTGCCACCGGAGGACATGTGGCCGGACGTGGGGTGTCGGGCTACTCGGCCGCCGCGCCGGCCGGCTGCGCCGTGCGCGTGAGAGGGGCACCCGGCTGACAGCCCTCGCCAAATGCAGATCGCCGTTCATCGCAGTTTGGGGTCTTCGTTACACAACCTACATGTCCCGTATCAAATGTCCTTTGCATACATAACAAAACCCCGGCCTCAACCACTGTATACACACACACTGTAAAGGTTACGGTGTGGCGAGGCCTGCCCAAATATGGGTATCAGTCATGTACCCATAAGCAAAATATTTACACCATCTCGGAATCTCTGCTGTGTAACTGCATGTTGTTATCATGCCGGGATATTCCATGGCTGAGCCTGAATGAAGCCTTAATCATCTGTACTATGAAGTTTCAGAGCTCAGCTGTTCTCAGCTTGGACCGTTTTCGGTCTTGTGCCCACAAACAAGCTCCAGCGCACATGTGCCCACAAACGACAATAATGGGATCACGCGCATGCGTGCGCGCGCGCGTGTATGTGTCATTCTGCATTTACTGTAACCCCTGTACCTGTTGCTCTGACCATGCCATGCTGAGAATGAAATGGTTACGCATTTCGTTAGGGTGGAATTAAGTGTCACCGCTGTAACGAGGGATGAGAGGGAGCGGTCCTTGCTCATCCGGCGCGTTCTCAATCGCACACCGTGCCTCTGCAAATAAGGCGTGCTGGTAACAGTTTATTCGTCGACAGATTAGTGATGGAAGATAACAGCTGCTAGCCCGACCAAGACCTGGCGGCGATCGTCCTCAATAAATAAAACAATGGGCCGCGACGTTACCACACTGGCAGCCTTGCCCTCCGGCCCACACAATCCATACAAAATTACAAATAAGGTGCACATCCTGTAAGGCCTTCCAGTCGCGTCCACGGACCCAGCGGGCAGCCGTCGCCTAGTACGCCCGCCCCCCGCCGGGGCGGCGCCACCGTAAACTATGGTACAAATGCGGGCCGATCTACGACTACGTATATCCTAAGCCGCGCAGAGGCGCCGCAGTGCTGTGCGCGCGGCCGCGACACTGCGCCTCTCCACAACGCGGCGGCAGGCACGTAAAGCTCCGAAAACATAGCACCATCTCAACTCGCGCGTGATAAATGCAAAATGAATCACAAATAACAAGAACATGGCCGACTCTGGCGGGCACTACGACTGACACGGCCGGGCGGCGCGGGCGCTCATCTCACTCGCCGGAAATGTATCACAAGTAACAAAACGATCGCAGCAGCGGCGGCGGCGGAAGCAGCCTACCGCCGCCACTCAATTGCGTGGCGTCGTTGCGCCGTGGCGGCGGCGGCGGTGGCGGCCGCTTCTTCAGCACCGAGCGCGGAGAGTCCATAGAGCGGCTGGGCGGCCGGCGGCGCCTGCTCGTCTGGGCCGCCGTAATGCTGGCGCCAGCCACTGGCCCACGTGCTGTTCCTTGTTGGCGTCCATGCTGGCGAACGGGTCGCGGGAAGCCGAGCACTTCGTGCGGGGACTTCAGGTCCACCTTGCACTTCTCGGCCACCGTCCACTTTTTGTGCATGACGCGCTGCAGGTCGCGCAGGAAGTCGCGCGGCGGCGTGACGTTGCACTGCGGCGAGTCCAGCCGGTTGGGCGGCGCCGCCGGCGGGCCGGCCGAGAGGCGGGTCGTCTCGCTGCGCTTGGGCGGCGGCGGCGGCGGACGGCCGCGCGCGTACACCGGCTGCGGCGGCGCCTCCACCACCACCGCGGCGTCAGCAAAGGAGATTTTCTTGACGCGCTTCTGGCCGCCGCTGCTGTAGATGGGCTCGATGTTGGGCATCGGCGGCGGCAGCGGTCGCCGCGAGCTCGGCCGGCGGCGGCGACTCGCGGCGCGCCGGCGGCCGCGGCGGCAGAGCCGTCACGCGCGGCGCCTCCAGCTCGCGGGGGCTCGGCGGCGGCGGCAGCGAGCTCACCGACCCGGTCATCAGCTCCTCAGGCGGCGGCGGCAGCGAGGCCAGACTCAGCATGCTGCCGCTCATGTCCGGCGGCGGCGGCAGGCTCTCTGAGTCGCTGTCGCCGGCCGACTCGGCGGCCGCTGGCGGCGGAGGCGGCGGCGGCGGCGGCTCGACCAGCCGCGCGCGCACCGTGTCCGTGCTGCGGCTGCTGTCCGAGCTGCGCACGCTGTCCGAGCGCGAGTCGAACGCTTGCGCCCGCTGCCCGTGCTGCGCAGACTGTCGGAGCGCGACTCCATGCTGCGCGCGCTGCCCGTGCTGCGCAGGGTGTCAGTCGCCTGCCGCTCCCGGCGGCGCGTCAGTGTGCCGTTCAGCGACTCGCCGTCGCCGGTGGCGCGCCGGCCAGGCTGCCGCGTCGGCGTCGTCGGCTTCGAGTCGACGGTGTCGGCCGTCTCGTCCGCCTTCACCAGCAGCCGCGTGGTGGACGTCAGCGGCAGCTTGGGCGCCATCGACGGCTTGCGCTTGATGTGCCCTGCGGGGTGGTCGCTGTCGAAGGCGTTCTCGGACGACTTGCTGGAGCTGCTGCCGCTGCAGCGCGACAGCACGCTATCCTGACGTCGCATCGGAGAAGCGCGCCGAGCCCAGGCTCGAGCCTGCCGGCCGAGAGACGGCTGTCAGAGCAGGCGCAACCTGGCGCGTCCACCGCGCCAACTCAAAATCCAGTTGGCCTCAGCCGTAGACCGTGATGCTAGATCATTCAAGACTTAAGCTCGCGGAATGGCTAAGCAATTTGCATTGAACGAAATAGAACAAAGAGTGAAGCAAAAGTCTGACAAAATAGTGTTGCTCAGAAGCATTGCAGAGACAGGAAGAGCGCATAGAGGACACAATTCGCAGCTACTTCCATCTGTACAGACTGGCGAAAGCGTGCTAACCAAACATACAAGACTAGCCTCCTAAGGCAGCCCTCTTCTCCGGTCGGGTGCCAGACCCCTTCCCGTCCAGAGCGAGCCGGCGCGGCCCCTCACCTTCGCTGAGCCGCTCGGCCTGCTCGGCGAGCGCGGCCAGGCTGGCCTCGATGGTGGCGCCCTCTTCGCGACTCGGCGTGCCGGCCGAGGGCGCCACCGACGCCACGCTGAAAGCTGCGCGCGTGCGCCAGCCGGTCGATGTCATCCTGCGCCAGGTCGTCCATCAGCTGCCGGTAGTTTTCCTGCAGCTGGCGGCCGTGCTGCGAACGGGGCCGAGGTCAGGTCATGTCGGGTCGGGTCAGGCTCGTAAGCGGCCTCCCTGACAGGTCGTGGGGTAAGGGGAGGGTTCTGTGAGGATCACGCAGCCGCGAGCGGTGCTGCCGCTGAGTCGTCTCATTGCACAGTGATTTCAAGGGCCTTGTTCACAATTGTCGCGTAGGCACGTGCGCTTACGATTACGAAGGCCATTTCGGCGGCGAAAATACCTTTAAACGAACGCTAAATACGTGTTTGTCACCACAGTGACCTTCCTGCACCCTAATATACGACTGACATTTACATACCGCCAACAAAAACCACAAAACACAACGCCTCCTAACGATGACTAACCGATATACATCACGATCGGCACCGGTCTCCGCGGGCTTGCGGGGACAGCCCGCCCGAGACGCAGGCCTGCTCGCTGCTCGTACCTTGGCCACCCGGATGCCCATCATCCATTGGTGCAGGGTGCGCGCGTCGTCGGCGCACAGGTAGCGGATGTGCTTGGGCGCCTTCACCTGGATCTGCGGGTGCTTCACGGCGAAGCAGTAGTCGGAGGGCGCCTTGTACTTCTTCTTCTTCCAGCCGATGCCGTAGTACCACCTGGGCGCGGGACGGGAGCGGCGTGAGTCCACGCTGGCCGACGGTGCCGACGATCCTGCGGCGGCGGCGGCGGCGGCGGCGGCGGACGCCGAGGCTCGCACAGCCGTCCGGCGCCGCACGGCCGCCGTACTCTCCGCTCTCGCGGCTCGCCGCCAGCGGCGCCCGGCACGAGGCTGACGGCGAGGCCGGAGGAGGCCGGGCCTCTGACCGCGGCCGTGACGCGTCCGCACGAGGCGCGTCATGAGATCATCGCGCGCCGCGCCGGCCGCCGAGCCCGACCGCGCGGTATTGTTGAGTACCATGACGTCACAGCGAGGACGTCACGGCGCTCAGCCGCAGACTGGCTGCATGTGCGGCGCGACACGGAGCCCGCTGCTGACCACACACCAGTGCCGGGCGCAGAGTAACAGAGCACTCAGCCTGCCCGACGGCCGGGCCGTCACATCAACAGCTGCCGTGCCGGCACGCAGGCCCACAACTCACCTGGTTGATGTCGAACTTGGCCAGGCAGACGAGGTCCTTGGAGCTCTTGACTTTGCCCTTGGGAGAGTAGTAGATGCCGGAGCCGCGCAGGACGAAGTGGTGCCGCTTCCAGGCCTTTTTGCCCTCGGCCTTGAGCCAGAGCTCGCTCTCCACCTCGGGCACGACCGAGCCGGACGCCGAGAAGAACTCCTGCCGGACAAGCGCGCGCGGTTAGTGGTGCCAAGCGCGTCAGCACCGCCCAAGCTTCACAGCCCACGTCGGCACGTCGGCGCCGACGGCAGACGTCGATTCCGGCGAACGGCCCGGCGGAGGGCTTTTTGCCGGCCGGCGGCAAACATCAGCGCTACAGGAGCCGACTGCCGACACCGTTTACTCGGCGCACGACGAGGCGCCGCGCGCTCCACAGACAACCGACCGCCCCGCAGCGATATTGACCGCCGCGCCAGAGCACGCGCCGGAGCGGCTGCAAAACAGGCGTCCAATGCAGATCTGGTGCACGCCGGCCGTGTGATCTCGTGCCGCGCGGCTTAAAGGGGTCATTTATCAGCCGTTTGATCCGCTGTGCGCGCGTCGCGTGGGACGAAAGAGGAGTAGTCACTTTCGGCGGGCCGAGTAGCCGATTTTTCATCGTAAGCGATGCAGTTAGCGAGCCCATTCAACAGCCCTGAAAACCGAGCGCGCTAGTGAATCAGGCGCGGCCAGCGGAAACGACAGGCCCGTTAACGGACGGAAGTCGACCTGAGGATTTGCGACCATGGAAGCCTTTTGGAGAGCGAGTTAATAGGGCTGTCGGACGACGCGTTCCGTCGGAGGCTCGTCGTTCCCGGCAAGGAACTACGAGCCCCGCAAGGCCAGGAACATCCAGCAGTCATGCACATCGTTCCCTATTAACCGCCCATTGTCGTCGCTGTTCATAGACTTAATGCCGCATCCTCATCGTTTTTTTATCGACATGATGTTCCACACTGGACCGCAGCATGGCAACGGGTCATTTTTAAGCGTGGCGATACCTTCAAGAGCTGCTTTAGCGTCCGTAGGACCGCTACGGGCAGCACACCTCCCGCCACGGTACGCGCACACCGCACCTCTCCGGCCAGCAGACCTCCCACCCACGGCACGGCGCGGCGCACACCGCACCCCTCCGGCAAGCAGACCTCCCACCCACGGCAAGGTGCGGCGCACATCGCACCCCTCCGGCCAGCGGACCTACCACCCACGGCACGGCACGCGCACGCCGCACCCCTCCGGCCAGCAGATCTCCCACCCACGGCACGGCACGCGCACACCTCCGGCCAGCAGACCTCCCACCTACGGCACGCGCAATCCGCATCTCTCCGGCCAGCAAACCTCCCACCCACGGCACGGCACGGCGCGGCGCACTCCGCACCGCTTCGGCCACGCACCTCGGTGAGTTGGAGGCGCGCATCGTCGTCCATGTGGGCGTGCTGCGCGCCGCTGGAGGGCAGCAGGTACTGCTCGGGACGGGCGAACAGGTCGTATTTGTCGGGCCGCTCCTGGAAGCGCAGCTGATTCTTGGAGTCGCGCGTCCACAGCATCAGGTTGTCCACCAGGTTTTCGTGGTCCTCGTACAGTCGTTCTGCGGGTCAGGCGGGCCGGACGGGTCAGGGGTGAGGTAGGGAGGGTCGGGCGGTGGATCCGATGAGGGGTCAAACGACAGGTCAGAAGCAGGGTCACAGGTCACCGGGGTCAGCTGAGTGGTGACGGAGACGGGGCAGGCGGGCAAGCCCGCACTTCGGGCGGAGAGACACACAGTGGTTCGGTACGCTCTTGGCAGCCTGGGAGTCGGGAAACTCGGGGGAAAATCAAGAGCAGGGCCAATTCCGCCACATACAGGCTCCATAACACCGCTGAAGACTGGCAATTTAGAGTCGACGTCCGTCAGTGTTCGGACTACGCAAACAAGCTCTGCTAGCGTTCGAACTATACAAACAAGCTCCTCAAGTTACCGCCCACAATGCGGCAGAATATCACAGAGCGAAAGTCCCAACGCAATTTCAGCCGGAACAGCCAAACAAAATTTCAGCCAAACAAAAGGAAGGAAGGTCGAGATGCGGAACAACAAAACGGTCCGAGGGCAGGCCAAGTTCAGCAGACCACAAACAGCCAATCACTGGATGCGTCTGAGAGCTCGGACCAGGCTCACTTCCCAGAGAACTGGGGAAAGCCTCTTGAAAGAGGACACCGTGGTGGGGACGTGCGTGGCCGCGTGGACATGTGCGACTGAGAGAGAGACGAACATATGTAGGCTCAATTTCCTTTGCATGGCGAGTTGCCCACCCGAGCTCTTCCACGAAAAATGACGCCAACGATTTCAACTCTCACATGTGGGCACTGCGCGGACACGAAAACTATGCGTCCCACAGCCCGAGCTGTCTGACGTAGCTCTCACAGGCGCCAATCGACGGCCCGACCACGTGCGGCCCAGGGCCTCACCCATCAGCAGGTCGGGCAGGTACTCGACGACAGCCCAACGCGGCTCCATGCGCACGTGGTTCTTGTCGGCCAGCAGGCGGGTCACGTGACCGCACGTCATCTTCTCGTCGACCAGCAGGCTCTTAGTGCTGCCGTCGCCCGTGAACGCCTTGATGAACAGCTTCTTCACGTTGGCCTCTCTGATCTTCTCCAGCGCCAGCTTGATCTTCTCGGCCTTAATGCGCGCCGCCTGGTCCGCCTGAGAACAAGCCAGGTGGCGAGCGCGTCAGCCACGGAGAATGCGGCGTGCAGTTTGCACAGCGCGCCGACAAACCACAGACGCGACACATCAACGCAGGTGGCGACGGCGAAGGCAGCTGCACGGGCCGGCCCGCCCGCCCCAATGGCTGACTTCACAAGCAACCGCCAGAGGCCGGCCACCAACGTTAGTCTAACTCGCATTCTTCAACGGTGTCGCTGCTAGTTTTTTAGTTTTTTAGTGTCGCAACAGGCGTCGCTGCTGCATTAGCTGGGTTCAGCGTCGGGGCCTGAGCGAGCGTACGCCGCCGGCTCCGCTGCAGCCGCGGCCCGTCGTCGGGAGAGGAGGGCGACCTCCAGCGCGTTCAGAGATGAGCGGCAGTCGGCTGCAAGTGGACCGGGCAGCAAGCGAGCAGCGGCGCCCACCGAGCGATGCGCGGCGCCGCATTCCGCCCTGGCCGGCGCCCTGTGGCGTCAGCTCAGCGCCGCCCCCCCCCCTCCCCCTCCCCGGCGGCCCGAGTCAACACGGCGACCCGCCCACCGGCCGCCGCCGCTGCTGGTCGGGCGGGGCTGAAGCTGAGCTGGCTGGGAGGCGGCCGTTTGGGGGCGGGCGCAGCGAGCGCCGGCTACGACAGCAAGGGGCGAAGGTCGGCTGCGGTCGCGACAGCGTGTCAGGTGCGGGTGGGGCAGACGAGGCAACGAAGAGTGGATGGAGGGGGGTGGGGCACGGAGTAGTCAGGTAGGGCCACTCCTACGCGTATGGTCTTTTGGCCAACATTTCAGAGTGCACTAGTATGGAGAAACACCGACACCATTGTACTAAACTCACCACCGGTGGCCACACGGGCCAGTGGCACGAAAGCATCTTCAACGCGTTTTAACCCGGCACAGCCAGAACAAATTCATCAGGCTTGCAGAGGCCGGGAGGGGCCAGTTGCCATGGATACCACAGCCGAGGCCAGCCTCCCAGGCCGTATCAAATGCACCCACATGAAGCTGCAGCTGTGGTAACGAGCAGGCCGGGGGCGGGCGGGGGGGGGGGGGGGGGGTCACAAGTGGCGTTGAGCGGGGGACGGGCCGCGCCGATCAGGACCAACTGGAGCCTGCTCGGGGGGGGGGGGCGTGCCCCTGGGCCTCTGGCTGACGAGCGCTTTCCCGTGCCGCCCGGCCCAGCCCACTCCCGAGGAGTCCCAGCGCGCGGTGCAGTGCGGGGCTCGGAGGGCCACCTGCGGGAGAGTCGGAGGGCACGGAGGGCCGCCTGTGCATCACGCACATCTAACGGTCAGAAGCACCACCGCCCGGCCACCGGCAGAGGACGGCGGCGGCCGCTGCTGGCCGGCGCGGGTCCCACCGAGCGCTCCTGTAAACAGAGTCGGCCGCACCGGGTCCCGTTTACCCTGCGCCCGGCGGCCCGTCTGGAGGGCATCAGCTCGGCGGCGGGCGGCTCAAATTAGGCCCGTGCCGGCCGAGGCCGCCCCCAGCCCGTTAGCGCCTGGAAAATAGCGGCCCCGGCCGGTACCTCACACTCGGCGGCGCAACCGCACTGCCCGGCCGCTCACTGACCGCAGCTCACTCAGCCGGAACGGCAGCTCAAAATAGAGAGGGGGGGGGGGGGGGGGTACGGAGCGTGCACCGCTCCAGATGGGCGCGCTCTGTGGAGCGGTGCGGCGACGGCGAGGGGGGGGGGGGGCTGAATCAGCGGCAGAGGCCCCCACGCGCCGGCAAGGCTGCGCCGGCGCGCGGCCGGCCCTCAGCTCGAGGCGCGTGGTGGCAGTGTCGCCCCGCCTTCCAGTCCATCGGACAACACGCGGCCGCCGATGCCGCGCCGGTCTCGCCGCGCCCGCGGCCGACGCCGCACGTCTGATCGCCGCGCACGGCGAGGCGCGCCTGAGCTCGCCTCCGCCGGGGCCGGAGACGCTCCTCGCCGAGGGACGGCCGGAGAGCGTGGCGACGGCCGGGCGCCTGCGCCGCGCCGGCCGGCCGGGGCCGCGGCGGCCGCCGTGTGTTTGTACAGGCGGCGGGGTCGGGCACGGAGCCGGCCTGGACGCTCGGCCGGTCGGCGCTGACATCACCCGGCCACTACTCAAGGACGCTCCCCGCCCATTCATTCGCGCCGGCCGGCCGCCGCGGCGCCGTCTTTGTCTGACCGCTGACACGGGATGCCGCGGGGTAGCCGGCGGGACCACACCGGGCGCGGAGAGACTCCCGGGCAGTGCAGACCCGGCAGGCCAACTGGCGTGTGAGGGAGGCGGGGCAGAGAGCCGAAGTGGCCTGAGATGGGAGGAGAGAGCTGCAGGCAAGGCAGGTCGAGAAAACAGGCATGCTAGAAGGTGGTGCCCTTGGAAGGGACAAGGAGAGGAAATGAGGTGTACAAAGGGCCATGAGAAAACTGCTGGTGAAACCCTGCAAAGGGAACTAGGGAAACCAAGCAAAATTCTTAAAGAAAAACAGGAAACTTCTTGGCTGGGTGACATCAGAGATACCATGAGGGTCTCAGCAGGGGCGGGAACGCCGTCACAGACTGGATGCAGTGGGAAGACCCCTGTTGGAGTACGGGTCACACCACTGGGGGACCGTCATGTGGACCCAAAAGCCCGCAAGATGACCTGCGAGACCCCAGAGAATGTCCCGCAACACTGCATAACCGCGGTCAGCACAGGCAGTACGATGCGAGGTCTCCGCATCGGTCCGCGGGCCACGCCGCCGCGCCTGCAGCCCCCCCCCCCCCCCCCCCCACACACACAACGCTCAGGCCGGCGGTGAGCCGTCGTGCGCGCGCAACGCGCTGCTCCAAACAGACCAGCGCGCGTCGCCGGCATCAATTCCGGCAGCAGATTAAGAGGCCGTCACGTCGGACCGACGGCCAGGCGACCGCTGATTTACGGGGCGAGGCGGGCGGGCGGCCAGGCGGCGCGCCGACGGCCGCGGAGCCGGCCCGGCTGCGGCCGCCGGTGCCGGCCAGCTGCGGCAGATCCGGCCACTCGGGCGCGCCGCCTCCGGTCCCGGTGGCGTGCAGGAGAGCCCGCCGCCGACCTCCACCTCGCGGGCCGACCGCAGAGCGAACGCCGCCGCCCGAGCTCCGCCGACCCGCCCGGCCGAGCCCGGCGGCACGCGCGGCGGGACGGAAGCTCACCTGGGAGGTGGGGCTGGCGGCCGAGCCGACGCCGCTCGACGACTTGGAGACCTCGGTGCGCGCGCCGCTGCCGCCGCTGCCGCCCGACGAGGCCGACGACTCGCTGGACAGCATCGACAGGTTGTCGGAGAAGGCCGAGTCGTTGTCGGGACTCTCGGTGCGCGGCCCTGGGGAGCAGAGCAGCCGTCAGGCGTCGGCCGGACAGGGGACCCGCAAGGTCAGCCCAGGTCAGCCTGACTCGGCCTGACTCAGCCTGACTCGGTCAGCCTGACTCGGTGTGTGGTGTCCTATGCACCGGGCATCCTGAGAATGAGCAGTGGGCAGTGAGTGAGGAACATGGCGAACAAAGACATGGGAGAGGCGAGATGTTGAACATTATTCCCAGCATGTTTGTAGCGGTGAGGGCGGCGGTCAAGGCGTGCCAAGCAATACCAGACATCGCCAACTGCTTCAGAAGTCTGACTCACAGCCGGTTCGTGACGGCGTCCGCATTCCCTGGCATTGTAGCACATTCCGACAGTCGAACCTTAACCACGTGTCGAACCACGCATTCGAGTCACACACACGCATACACACGCTTCAAGGTGCGGCAGGGCGCGGGCCATGCAGACGCTGCAGCGCTGTCGCTGCTCCTGGCACTCCATTGGCACCTTTCTCAGACCGCTGCGTCCACTCGACGTCCGACGCGTAGTTGACCTCGAACTTGGGCCGAGCGCCTCCGCCCATGGTGGCGGGCTTCCGTGCAGGGACCGGGTGCAAAGGCGCCAAACTATCCGTGCCGCACGCTTCTGCGGACAACAGCACACACTCAGACACCGTCCAGTGACACCGCAGCCGCCCACACGCCCGTCTGTCCCGCGATCACCCCCTCGGCAGATCTCCGTGACTAAGACTGGCTTTCCTGCCGGCCGCGTACGCGACGCGGTGGTGCATGACATAGGATTCCGCAGCGGTGCGATCAATGTCGCCGGCGTCTTCGCCCGCTACAAAACATCTAATTCAGCGGAAACCTTTCCCGACGCCGTCATCAGCCGTTTCAAAGGAAAAGTTACGCCACCGCGGCGCACAATGTACACGTAAGAGGATGCACGGCAGCCGGGCCATTCTCTCCGACAATTTGCGGGAGGACTGACGAAATCACAACTGACGCGCGCCTGAAACGCGATCACCAGCAGCCATCTGTCGCCGCGGCCTCGGCCACGCTCGGCCGACCACCGCCGAGCCGGAGCTGTTTGTCTGTCGGCTCCCGTCCCCGGGCGCGCCGCGTTCGCCGCTCCCGGCTGACGGCGCCGGCTTGTGTCGCGGCGCCGACGCGGCAAAAACAATCAACCGGCGGGGCAGACAATGCGTGCGTCGCTATGTAATGAGCCGGTGTGCCGCCCGATCACGCTACAGCGACGACGCAAATTGGCGCCGGTCGTCGGCAGTCCTTTGTGCCGGTCACCGCGACCTGGAATTAGCTCACGGCCGGCGTCGGCGACAAACGAGTTCGGATGAGAGATCGGGGAACAATGACGGTCACACGGCCCGCCCGATCGGCCGGTGGCGAGCTATGCCTGTCCGCCCGTCGGCCGGCGGTGAGCTATGCCTGTCCGCCCGATCGGCCGGCGGTGAGCTGTGCCTGTCCGCCCGTCGGCCGGTGGTGAGCTGTGCCTGTCCGCCCGATCGGCCGGCGGTGAGCTGTGCCTGTCGGCCCGTCGGCCGGCGGTGAGCTGTGCCTGCCCGCCCGTCGGCCGGCGGTGAGCTATGCCGGTCCGCCCGTCGGCCGGCGGTGAGCTATGCCTGTCCGCCCGATCGGCCGGCGGTGAGCCATGCCTGTCCGCCCGTCGGCCGGCGGTGAGCTATGCTTGTCCGCCCGTCGGCCGGTCGCTGGGCGACGTCTCGGTAGCGCGGCGGCGGCGGAGCAGCGGCGTTCTCCGCCGGCCGGGGCCGGCGCGCGTACCGCCGCAACGGTGAAGCCATGGGCGGGCCGCATCGGGGCTGTCCAGCGACCAGAGGGGTTCTACGAGGAGCGCAGCAGCGCCGTCGTCGGGCGGAGGGCGCGGAGAGTCTGACCGCTTTCGGCCCTTGCAGCAATGCGTATCTGAAGTTTGGGCGTGCCGGTATGTACCTGTACACCACAACAGTGATCTGACCTCCGATCTGTGATCAACAGTGATCTGATCTGACCTTTGTGCAAAGCGGCTACCCCACATACCCCGCTCTTCTCTACAGCGGTGTGCGCGGACACCAGACTTCACCCTTCTCGCTGTCGCGCCGGCACCACCAGCCGAGCGGTGATTTCCTGTACTGAAGAACTCTTCGCCCCGCGCACTGAGCGACCGCCTGTGCCTCCCCCTCCCCCTCCTCCACACACACACATGCGCGCCCGGGCCCGACGCCACCTCACCTGTCTTCCTGGAGCCGGGCGCGGTCGGCTTGTCCTTGATCTCCTTGTCGAACTGCGTCTCCAACGCACACAGCTCCCCTAGAATAGCGTCCAGCTCGACGTCCTTCGAGTCTGCGGACACAGGCGCCACGTCAGACGCGCGCAACGCGGCGCTCGGCGCGCGCCAGCCTCTGTTTGTGACGGCGCCGTTACATATGGGTACTGGTGATCATAAATCGGCCGGCTGCATGGCAGAGCGCCGCTTTGTGGCCCAGATCCGGTGTGTTCATGGCCGCCCCGCACGGCAGTCCGCGTCCGGCAGCAAAACTCCACCCAGCTGCCGGGAGGGGTCTCAGACTGGGCCTCAGTACCGACAGGGGCAGCTACGCGGGGCGCAGTGGGTACATCCGGCCTCCTCGAGCCGGTCAGCCCAAGCCTGTCCAGCGATGCCGCCCCACGCCCAACAGCCCCAAAACACGGCGTGAATGCCCACACAACCGATGGGCTAACAAAGGAGGAAACAGCAATGCCGTGACGAGCGTTCGGACCCCCCAGACATGCAGCGGCGAGGATGTCCAGCGCCCCAGCGGCGTCCAGGATCGAGCAGCGGTGCTCCGCTATCCCAGGCAGGCCACACGTGACGTGACGTGACGCCAGCGTGACGGCTGCCACGCCGGCGAGGTCACCGACATCTCCCGGCCGCCGTGCCGTGTTCAGCAGCGGTCTGTCGCGCCCGAACCCGCTGTGACGGCCCGCCACTGTCTGTGGCGGTCAGTCACGAATCTCCCCGCCCGGGTCTCCCGACAGGTGTCCGTAGGGGGGAGGGGGGCGGAGCAGCACGCCGCCGCGCGGTAACGAGGCGGGTCGGGCCGGCCGCGCCCCCCACACGCGGGCAGTCGAACGGCACCTGAATCACCGGTCGGCGGCCGAGCGGACGCTGCGCCGGCGATGGCCGGCCGACCCGGCCGGAAGCCGCATGCATTATGCATTTACATGCGTTGTTACGGCCGGTTTACTGTCCAGGCCGTCCTACCGATCATCACAAGTGCTATCCGCTCGTATCAAGCGAGCTATATAACCCGGCGGACGGGCGCCGGTAAGCCCGAGTGATCACCATGCACCTGATCCCCAGGGTCTCAGTCAAGCACTGATTGTCTTCCCCACCTCCTCTGTCCTGCCTCCTCCGCTCTGCCCGGCTTACCTTCGAGGACGGCCATGGAGAGCCGGTAGGAATCGGTGCGTGGCGCATGGCTGTACTTCTCCACCGAGCTGGCCGAGCCGGGACGCCCGCCAGACCCGCACGCCGTGCCCGAGTCCAGACCCTGCAACAAACGGCACCAGGGTCAGGTCAGGTCAGGTCAGGCCGCACATCACTGGTCGGATCACGGCCAGGTCAGGTCAGCCTCAGATCCACATGTCTGATCAGGAATTGGGTCAAGAGCCCGATCAGGGCCCGGTCGCACCTCCCGAGAAAACAGGGGGCGGTACACAACACCCTCCCGGGCCAGGGGCACTCGCGGGACGGCGGCGCGCGAGGGGAGGGGGAGGGGGGAGGGGAGGAGGCTATCGATCGAACGCTGGCGGCCATCAAAGCCAATCTGCCGAGCGGCGCGGCGCCGCTCTGACGGTGATCCGTCTCCCGTGCGTCCGCCGCGCCGCCGAGCTCATCTTAGCCAGGGCGCCACCGCGCCACGTCGGTATCGGTGACGCCCCGGCCGCAGGACCCCACAAAACGCCGCCAGGATGCTCGACCTGCAGGCCTTCCGCCAGGATACTCGACCTGCAGACCTTCCTCCAGGATACTCGACCTGCAGACCTTCCTCCAGGATACTCGGACTGCAGACCTTCCGGCAGGATACTCGAACTGCAGACCTTCCGCCAAAATGCTCGACCTGCAGACCTTCCGCCAGGATACTCGAACTGCAGACCTTCCGCCAAAATACTCAACCTACGGACCTTCCGGTAAGATGCTCGATCTGCAGACCTTCCGCCAAAATACCCGACCTGCAGACCTTCCCGCAGGATACTCGACCTACGGAACTTACGCCAGGATACTCGACCTACGGACCTTCCGCCAAGATACTCGACCTACAGGTCTTCCGGTGGACACTCGAGCTGCAGACCTTCCGGGCCGGCCAGCCTTCCTGTCATCTAAACAGGTCCACCTACTGTTACAAACAGCTGTGGTGCCAGTGATCGAGATCCTCTTACTGATTATTTGCATGGCCCAGAGGTGCCTGCCTGACCGTTAATCAAACGGCGCCTAGCACCGGACCCTGCAGGTTGCAGGGCTGTTCGAGCTGCGCCCGGCCATCCAGGGGTGGCCGACCCGTACGGCTGCGTGCCGCGGACACAGCGGCGCCTACCGGCAGTCAGCGGACAGGATGGCTCTATTGTCGGGGGACACACCGGGACAGGACGTCGGACAATCCGCCGTCCGGGCCTCCTCCTCCTGCAGCGGCGGCTTTTTGCTGTATTCAGCCCGCTGCGAGCCGACAACAATCACCAGGGACAAACGTAAGGCGATTACAGCGCATTCATTGCAGCCGTGTCCGCCGACAAAAAGACATATTGCTGACGCTGATTGTCGTTTTTACGCAACTCGGCCGGTGGGCAGCGCCCGGGAGAGCTCAATTGAGCCGGAGGGGGGGGGGAGGGGGAGACGCACGCCTTCAGGGTGACAAAGAGGAAGGCCGGAGGAAGGCCGCCCTCCGAGAAGACAGAAGACCATCACAGCTGACAGCTGACCCTGGCCGCCCTCTGAGATGACAGCGGACGGCCACGCGCGGAGCTCTAGATTGCTCACACTTCGCAGCCGAGAGGCAGCGTTACGCTCAGTGCACCCGGGGGAGGAGGGCCAGACAGCCGTAAAGGCGCCAGATAGCTCGCTCGACGGCCGGCCGCCGCTCCGAGCGCGCCTGCAGGCTGGCGCCGGCCGGGCGGCCCCGCCAAACGGGGCGGCGGCGGCGGCGGTGGCGGGGGCCCCGGCGGGGCGGCCTACCCGCAGCCCCCCCCCCCCCCGCCCGACTCCCGGCGCCGTTAGGCTCGGCGACACGGCCGCTGGTGCCCCGCCGCCGAGCGTTGAACCGGCGCGCGTGCGTGCCGCGGCGCCGGCGGAGGAGGTGAGGTCACGCACGTCCCGTGGGGCGGCGCGGCGGGGCGGTGACGACGGTCATTTGGTGGCGCCACGGCCGGCCGGCCGGCGCCGGCCCCCGCCGCCCGCCGGCCTCTGCAGAGGCGCCGGCGCGCCGCATTAAAGCACGGCCGCTCGCCCCCCGCCGTTCGGACATTTGTCCTCGGCTATAGACGGCGCCACACGCACCTCCCCGCCGCTGACGCCGCCGCACAAGCGCTGCGAACCCCCGCGGCGCACGGCGAGGACCGCGCGGAGGACACCCACGCAAGGCTCTGCGGCGCCTCCCGCACGCATGCACCCGCTCCGCACCCCTCTGCGCTCCTACCTGTGCCGCGCGTGCTCCTGCGTGGCCGCTGGCGCCGGCCGCAACCCGGAGGGCGGCGCACGCACCCCGACGAGGCGCACGTCACCGGGCACCAGCCGCCACTGGCCGGTGCTCTCCAAACAGAGCGTCGGCCGGCGCCGCGCTCCGGACGCTCGGCGACGCCTATCCAAACAGGGCGGCCATGGGCGGCCGGCGCCGCCGAGTGGACGGCTGTTTACGGCGCGCCGCTCAACCAGCCGCTTCCTGCGGCGGCGGCGGCGGCGGCGGCGGCGTTGCCGAGCGGGCCGGGTCAGACGCCACGCGAACGAGGAGGCGCCGGCCTCGCCGGCCGCTGGCAGTACTGCGCTAGGTACCCCGGCCTTTGCGCGGATTTTGGCGGGAACGAGACACGGGACGCCGACGGTGGTATCAGATCGGCAGGTCGGCCTGGGATCATCCCGGCCCGATCGCAGCTCACCACCGGCTCGCCGACCGCAGCGGCGCTCCCGTGTTTGTTTTGTTCCGCGCCGTCAATGCTGTTCACTTTTTCCCTCCAGCTGACCGGACCCGGTTTCCTTGAGCCGACCGGTGTCGCAGGTTTTTCCGCCGGCCCCTCCAGCGCCACACGGCGGGCGCCGCCATGGATCGCCACCACCGCCCGACACACGCGCAGCAGCCCAGGCCCCTCAACCCCAGCTCTGAGCCGCTCATGTGTGCCCCAACCCGCCGAGCGCCCGCGCGTGCCGCGAGACGAGGCGAGGCGTGCGGCGGCGGCCAGGAGCCAGCAGCGCTGGCGGCCCACGGCGGAGTTTCCGGCGCGCCGCTGGCGCCCGGCGCGCGGAATCCCCCGGCGCCGGAAATTCCGGCCGCGCGCACGGCCGTCGGCCGGCTGCCAGCTCCGGCCGCCAGCCAAACAGCAGCCTGACTCACAGGTGCGACCGGCGCCGTCAGCCGTCCGCCGCGGCGTACGAGCGCCCCCGAAGCGGCGCTCGGCTCGGCGGCACAGCGGCGGGGTGCGCTGGCCGCCGGCCGGGCGGGCACACGTGCGCGGCGACCCCCCTATTTCTGCAGCGCCGCCGCGGCGAGGTCGGCGCGGCCGGCGCCCCTGCGGCGCGGTGGCAGCCTGCCAGCGCCGCGCCGGGTTACATCAGCGACGCGCGGCGCCGCCTCGGCGTCGGAGCCGACGGCCGCGCGGGGTCGACAAACCCGGTCACGTGGCGGCGCGGTCGAGCGCGGCGACACGCGACGCTCGCCGCCCGCGCCCTGAGACACGGCCGGACTCGCCGACACCGCCCGGCGGGGGTGGAGCGAGGCGCGCCTGCTCCCGGAGCCGGCGGCGCAGGTGCAGCAGCCGTCCGGGGGGTGACCGGGCTATTTTAGCCGCCGCGGGCGCCGCTGGAGGGCGCCCCGGCCGTCGCCGCCTCGGCCGAACGCCGGCCGGCGGACCGACGCGCCGCCGTGTTTACGGAAACGGCCGTCGGCGGAGTGGCCGGCCAGCTCGCAACCAGCAGCTCCCGCTGTCGCTGCAGCCGCGCTGCAGCCAACTGCAGCAACTTAATCAACTGCATTGGTGCCGCGCCGTAATTAGTGGGCCCAAGTTTCTTGCCGGCTGCCAAATGGAGCACAAAGTTTTAACGGTGAGCCAGCCGCTCACCAGAAGAGCCCAGCCCAGCGCACCGGCGGCGGTTGGAGCCGCAGCAGCTCGGGCGCAGCGGCTCGGGCTGCGGCGGCTCCGACCGGATCGATTCCATTCTGTCTGCCTTGCAGAGAAGCCCAGGGCACCAGCCCGGGCCTCGTCAATCGCTCTCATGACCCAGCAGCCGGCGCGGCCCGCCCCGCTGTGTTCGGTCCTGCGTGGGCTGGCCGGCGGCGCTGATCGTCGACCATTAGTCGGCGGCGACAGCGTCGGTCGTCGACTGAGGCGCGCGGGCCCGACCGGGCCGCCAGCGGCGCTGTAGAGCGCGCCACAGATGAGGGCAGAGGACGGAGGGGAGCGCACGAGACGACAGACATCTCTCGCGACCGAACCGGTCCGTCCCGCCCGCCCCGGCCGTGCTGGCGCGCTCAACCCATCCGGCCCGGTCCGACCCAGCGCGCTCACAACCCCATCCGGTCCGGTCAGACCCGGCGCTCAGAACAGAAACGGAGGCATCCCGCTTATCGCGGCAGCCAGCAGCCGCGCCAGGCCATCAGCACCGCACCGGCCGGCGCCGCACTGGGAGCGCCCGAGCGCCGCCGTCGCCGCCGCCGCCCAGTGGCCGGGTCACGGCGTCCGGGACGTATCGCCGGCCGGCAGCGGCGCTCGTTAGCCGCCATCAGCGGAGGACAGGGTCGGGGCGGGCCGGCCGGCCGCCGCCCCGCCCCGCTATCCCACCTGATCGGTCTGGTCCGCGCCCGTTCTCACGCGCCGCCGGCCGTGACACACGGTCGGCGTCACGGTCTCGCTCAGCGTGACGACGCGCTGCACTGTCGCCGGCGGCGGCCGCGGCACTGGCGGCCGCCGCGCCGCGCGCCCCCCGGCCGCCGCCGGCCGCTCCCCCAATCAAAAAACTCCCCTCCAGCGCGGAGGATCTCGCAGGGGAATCGATCGGCGCCGCGATGAGTCACGAGCGGCGTCCGTCACCGGCGCTGGATGCTGATGGGGTGGAGACGGGGTACCTGTCGCGCGCCGCGGACGATGACCGGGTCACGCGAGGCGCCGCCGCCGACACGACGGCGCAAACAACGACCAGGCAGCGGTAAAGGCGAGCGTGGCGAGGCGTGCCGAGAAGCCGGCCACCCCGAGCGGCCGACCACCCCGAGCTGCCGGCCACCCCGAGCGACTGACCAGCTCGAGTGGCCGGCCACCCCGAGTGGCCGGTCGGCCACCCCGAGCTGCCGGCCACTCCGGGGCGCCCGAACACACAGCGGCCGACAGAACGAGTCCACTTTACATTAGGCGCTTAATTCGGGACCAGTGCTCCGCTCGAGATGGGAATAAATTAAGGCTTAATCCCGCCCCCACTGCAGCCGGGTAATGAGGCCTGAACGGCAGCGGCGGCGACGACGGCGGCGTACAGTCCGTGGCCGCCGACGCGTCCCAGTCCGGGCGCGTGGGCGACGCACGACTCACGCTTGTTTGCTGCGCGACTCACTGACCCCCCCCCCCCCCCCCGATGGGGCGGGGCCCGCGCGTGACGTGGCGGGAAACACGCGATCAGTGTCGACGAGGTGACGCTCGGTCATGCTCCATCACACCATAGGGTCCGCCTCTTCCCTCGAGAGCGACCGTGGCCCAGTTCCGGCCGCATCCTGCCCTGATGACGTCATCGCCGTCTCCCGACGCGACCGGAAGTCGAGGCCTGAGATCATCCCCACCACGCCTGACCGACCTCAATCCCAGCCCACCGCTACCGCTCGCCGCCATCGTCGTCTCCGCCGTGTCATCTCGTCGTCACTCGGCTCGCTCCCCCCCCCCCCCCCCCATCGCCCCCGCGCTCCTCCGCGTCATCATTACGGCAATGAGCGCTCCCGCCCGGCCGTCGGAGGGGCGGTCCGAGGGCCGTGTCAGCCGCGCGGCCCCGGATCGGCACGCGGCGCGGGTCGGCGTCGCTGCCCCGGGCCGCTGCCGGGTCATCGTCGCCGCCCCGGGCCGCCGCCGGGTCATCAGCGGCCGGCCGCTGAGCCGATCGCCGCCGGTCACGTCCGGCGCGCTCGACGGGGCGCCGGGCGCTCGCGCGTCGTTACCGTCGATGCGCGCCAACGACGGCGCGGCCCGGCTTCAGCGCCGCTGGTCCCGGCGGTCGTTTACCTGACGACGGCCGGTATGAGGCGCTCGGCCAGAGCGGGCCAAACGCCGCTGCTCGTCAGCGGCGCTACTTCTCCGATTTAACGCCCGAGATCAGCAGCGGGGCTCTCCAATGTCTGGAAATCTCGAGGATATTGAACTACCTGCGCTGTCTGAAAAGCACAGGCGTTCCGCCCACAGGACGTCTTCATCTAATCCGCAAATGGCAAGCTTCGGGACGCGCCGCGGGCATTGCATAATTCAAAATCCAACGCGGAAGTTTGCGAAACTTTCGGTCCGGTGGTTCGACAGCTCATAAATCGTTCAATACACGTCGCAGCCCATATCCCCGGAAAGCGTGAGATAAGGACGCAGTGAACTGTCGACTGACGGCTTCCCAGCCCAGCGTGACCGGGGAAGGACCCGCCGCTGCCGCCGCCGCTGCGCGCGGAAATCTCACCAAAGCCGTCGCACGCCGCAGTCGCACAATCAGCCGGCCGATTTTCAGCCGACATCGATTTCCTGTCAGGCAGCAGCGGGCGGCGACAGGCGGCGGCATACGCCGTGCCTCCGGGCTCGACCGCCGCCGCCGCCGCCCCCGGGCTCCGCGCCGCCACCTCCGGCTCGGCCGTCGCCGCCCGGCCGACCCGGAAGCGCCGGCGGCCGCACCTCCAGGCGGCGCGTGCCGAGCCTGCAGGGTGACCGCGGCCGGGAGCAACGGCCGCCGGCCATTAGCGGCTCCGGAGGCGCGCACTCTCGGCCGAGACTCGAGCGCGTCACTGGCGCCGCCGCAAACAGCGCCCAATTAGCGGCGACCAGAGCGGCGCGCACCGCCGCGCCACGGCCGCCGCGCAAAAACGGCGACATCCGATATTGCAGCCGGGAAGAGGGGAGCCGGCGGCCGGAGTCTCCGGCGCCGACCTGCGTCTTTGTCCCGCCCGCAGTCAGCGGCGTGCGTCCTCTGGCGTGTGCTGTGCCCGGCGGCGGCTGCACCACAGGAACAGGCGGCGGGCCAGCGATCGCCGATGATTGATTCTACCTCCCACTGGACGGTGATTGGGGCGGGGGTCACGCGCTCACACGCTCACACACGGCTGGCCAGCCTCACACGCGCAGGGAGGCGGCCCGGCGCCGCTCCCATACGCTCGTTAAAGCCGCTTGTCCCACGGCGATAACCATAATAGAAAGGGTGATTGTTTACCGATATGACAACGCCCGCGCGTTCATCCGTTCGGCATCGGAGCGCCTCGGGGGCGATAAGTCCCGGGGTATCAAAACGCGGCAATTTAAATCAGTGAACGTGACTCGACGGCCGGCCAGATAAGCCACGGCCGAAAGAAAAACCCGAGGCGTAAACCACGCCGGGCGAGAGAACCCGTCGTCGCATGCAAAACAGGCCAATAAAACGGCCCGCTCGGCTGCCGCCGTCGGCGCCGACGGCTCTCGGTCCGCCGGCGCCGGGGCGAGTCCACCCGCCGGCCGGGGGAGGACGGCAGCTCAATCTCCCGCCGAGGCCCGCGCCATAAATTATGCCGGCGCGACCAGGAAGCCGGCCGGCCGACAGAGCGGGCCGTGTTTACCCGGCTCTCTAGCGGCGCCGGCGAGCCCGGTGACGACAGCGGACGGCTGCAGCGCGCGGTGGCGCGTCGAGACGGCACACCGCCGCCGGCCAGCGCGCGCCGACGCCGGTCGGCGCCAGCCCAACCGAGACGTCGCCGGCAGCTCCCGCTAACGGGCTCGGCGTCGGCGCCGCGTGTCCGGGCCAGGTCATCCAGCTAAGTGGTCTGGCGATGGGCCGCCCTCGAACTGATCCAGCCGCCGATCCGCTGCCAGAATCATCTGCCCGGAGCCTGCTGCGCGCCAAGTTTCCGCCCAAATACTCTGGCGGAGTAAATGCTCTCTAGCCCGCAGCGTTCGCCGATTGGCCTGGTGCCTCCGCGTCGGCCCGGCGGGTCCCAAGAAGCCGTCGTCTTCCGCGAGCCCGGCCACCACTGCCGTCCGCGCTGAGCACCTCTCCACGGGCTATCGTTCCCGTCCGCCTGTTGGAGATCATCTCTTCTGAGCCGACCCAGCGGGGCCGGCGGTCAGTGTCAGGCCGACCGGTGGCAGCGGGCTGCTCTAATCGGCGTAATCAGGGCCGACGCGCCGTGCCCGGCCGGCGGCGGCCGCGGCGCCGCCGGCCGCTGCTACCGTGGGAAGGCGGCGCGTGCAGCCTTTGTCCGGCCGCCTCCTCCAGCCCGAGCGTTGGCAACCGGCGGCGGTGGCGAGCGCGGTCGCCGCGCCCAGTCAATGGAGGGGAAGCGACCGCACCCCGCCTCCACCGCTGATGCATGGCTACTGTTTACTCATAAATAAGCGCCCTAGGGTCGGACGGAAGCCGGATATTGTCCGTCCTGCTCGGCCGGTAGTGTGGGGCTGGTTTCCCCGGAGCAAAACAGAAGGGGAGCGCTCTGAAGGAGCTGATCACCGTTCAGAGTCGAGCAGAAATGGCAGCGCCTCGAGGAATGCAGCCAGTTCCGCAGGGAAATGATCCCGCTGACGGAAATGGATTTTCCAATTCCTCGCTTGATTGCGCGCAATGCGTCTTGAGCGGCCGTCGGGCCGGCGGGAGGCTCCACCGAATTGCCAACCGGGCCGACCTCACTGACAGCCGCTGCGCACGAGGACAAGGACACGTCGGCTCGGCCAGCGGGCTTTCCCAAGCGGTTCTGGCGGCAAACCAGCTGGCCGAACCCAGCTCAATGTCAAGCAATGACAAAACACCTCTGTCAAACGAGCCAAATGGGACTTCCGCCAACCTCTGCCTCCCGCGTGCCATCTTGTTAGATCGTTGTTATTCATTACAGAAATCCTCCCTTCATCGTCAGTTTCTCATGCGGTCGCACGTTTTTCCCGCTTTGTTATGTCGTAATTACAAATGGGCTCGCTCCGGCAATGGCGACGGCTCGTCGAGCACGACGAAATGAGCCGCGACGGCCGCTTCATCGCCGACCTACCTTGCCGGCGAACAGCCTCCGCCTGATGATCCCGAACATGACGTCCACGTTTCCGGCGCCGCGAGCAATAACGGGAGCCGCGCCAAACGGCAGCGATTACCGAGCGGGGCAGACGACCGGCGCTCACTTCGGCAGCGCTCGGCGCCGGTCAGCGGACGCGGCGAGCTGCCGGCGAGGCGTCCAGCGGCGCACACGTCGGCGCCGCTGGACCGGCGATGGCGTGAGCCCCCGCGGAGACTGCGGACACGGGCGCACCGACGCCACGACAGTCGTGCGCGCGGCCGAGCGACAGGTGGCGTCCACCGGCCAGTCTCTCCGCCCGTCTCTCTGCCCGTCTCTCGCCGTCAGTCCGCCGTCCGGCGGCGGCCGGCGCCTGTCACAACACCTGCCGACGCCGTGACGTGACGTCCGCCCCGGCGCGTCTCTGTCCGGGCCGACGGCCGCGCACGCTCCAGCACCAGCGCCTCTGTCCCGAGCAGGCAGCCGCGCACGCTCCAGCACCAGGGCCTCTGTACCGGGCAGGGGCCGCGCACGCTCCCGCACCAGCGGCTCTGCGCCGTCTCTCCGCCGGCCGGGCGCTGCCTCTTGCGTCCCCGCTTCGGCAGCGGCGGAGGATCGGTCCGTGCCACTGGTGCGCGTGGTCACGACGGCAGTCACAGGGACCAATCCGCTCCCCGTCCAGCGACCGACTGTCCGTGCTCTAGCCCCGGCAGCGACGACCGTCACAGTCTGTCACCGGCCGACTGCTCGCTCGCCCTGAGGCCTGCGCCGAAGCTTCAGCCGCGGAGTGAGGATCGGAGCTCCCCAGGCTGGCTCCACACTCGTCACGAGACCTCCGCTCGCGCGTCGCCGGCGGGTGGCGCCGCGTCGGCGTCGACGATCCGCTCCACAGGCGGCCGGGACTCCGTCGGCGGCGGCAACCCGGGAGCGCCGACACGCACGTCCGACCCCCGCAGCCGCCGCGGCCGCACAGCGCGTCCCGCTCTCGGTCGATGGGGAGACGCGGCCGGCCTGCCCGCCCGCAGGTGCGCCGCCGCCGCCGCCGCCGCCAACCGGGGGACGCCGTCGCCCCGGGCGCGCGGTCCCTCCCGATAGACGGCACCCTCCCGACGGACGGCACCCTCCCGACGGACGGCACCCTCCCGACGGACGGCACCCTCCCGACGGACGGCACCCTCCCGACGGACGGCACCCTCCCGACGGACGGCACCCTGCCGGCAGACGGCACCCTCCCGACGAACGGCACCCTCCCGGCAGACGACACCCTGCCGGCAGACGGCACCCTCCCGGCAGACGGCACCCTGCCGGCAGACGGCACCCTCCCGACGAACGGCACCCTCCCGGCAGACGACACCCTGCCGGCAGACGGCACCTGCAGATGCCAGGTTGGGCCGAGCGGGCGCGGCCCGCGCCGCCGCCGCCGGCAGACGCCACGTGCGAGACGGGTACGGGACAGCTGCGTCCCGGAGCAGCCGGCTCAGCGCAGGGCGGAAGGGGCGGACTTTTGTTGCCGGCGGGACACCGCCGTGTTAATCCCTGCCTAATGAAGAGTCAGTTGTCAGCCAATGGGCTTCTGCGCTCCTCCCATCTCTGCACCAAAGGGAAATACGAGACAGCGCCGCCACGGCTATTTGTAGTGATAGCGATATCTTCGCGTCCTTGTGGTAACGATTACTTGAGCTCTGGTAGTCCTCTAGCCCCACGCTCACGAACGTCAGCGGTACTTGAGCGCGGAGTGAGCCAAACATCCGCTCGAACATTAGCACTTGAGAAGGTCGGTCGTGTCGGGCCGGGCCGAGTCGACTCGAGCCGGGCCGAGTCGACTCGAGTCGAGCCGAGTCGTGAGCCCTGCCGACATCTGGTTCGCGGGACTCAGATGGCGCCACGCTGTCCTCCACATCCCCGCCGCCGCCGGCGACCGCCCACGGCCTACCGCGCCGGATGACAGCATGAAGGCTGGCGGCGGTGATGTCAGGCGGCGGCGTTTATTTTGCCAGCCGCGCCGAATTTTGCAGCGGCGCGCTCCGGAAGGCGGCGGCTTCCTGCGCGGCCGGCCGTGGCGAGGACGGTCCGAGGACCGGCGCACCCGCGCGTGGCACGGCGGGCGGCGCGCCACGTCGCCGCGGCGTTCACCGCGCCCCGCACGTGAGCCAGACAGCGGTTGTCCGGATGACGGTGGAAAGCTGTCCGGATGACGGTGGATAGCTGTCCGGATGACGGTGGATAGCTGTCCGGATGACGGTGGATAGCTGTCCGGATGACGGTGGGTAGCTGTCCGGATGACGGTGGATAGCTGTCCGGATGACGGTGGGTAGCTGTCCGGATGATGGTGGGTAGCTGTCCGGATGACGGTGGATAGCTGTCCGGATGGCGGTGGATAGCTGCAGAGCAGATGCCTGCTGCGCCGTCGGATGTGAGGGTTTAAAATGTACGGTGGGCTTTCGCGGCCAGATGGGGGATGAACAGTGGCGGGGTTCATCAATATTCGCCGGTGTGGTCGCGGCAGTGCCGCCTGTAAATCTCAGGCTCGTATAGCCAACTTTACGTCTGTTTACTGACGAAATCGAACGGGGTTTATGACGCTGAGAAAAACTCTGAAACACGAGAGCGGTTCCTATTGACTCGGAAGAACGTGAGTCGACTGGCTGACTGGCTCGTGTTTGCTCGAGAAATGTGCGTCGCGCTAAACAAACGAGCAAAGGCGATGAATTTCGGTCCTTATTGAATGATTGTTGGCCTAGGATAAACCCATCCACGTCCCATAAAAACTGATGAGCCAGCAAACATCACCAGGCGTAATTATTACACACCACCGGCACGTGTGACACACGAGACCAAATGCATACTATTACCATAAGGGTGCTGTCAGGATAAGAATAAGAGATAGCCTCCCGTCGACCATTAATGGCTATGTCTGAAAAAACAAACCGAGGAGCTTTGTCCCCATCTACCCCTGCATCCAGCCCAGTATACATTAACTCAATTACCCTCAATAGGGGGGGGGGGCACAGCTGGGTGAAGAGGGAGGGGATGGGGCAGGCCACGTACACAAAAGACCCCACCAGACCTCAGCCACCGGAGGCCACGTGGCATGAGGACTCAGTGACAGGGCACAGTGTGACAGGGCACACTGCAGGAACAATACGGCCAGCGGGTCAGGCCGAAGAAGACGCTGAACACTGAACACCAGCAAAGAGCCGTTGCCGACGGAAGCCAGGTCTACGGGAGGCCTTCCGACGGTCGTCCCTCACGCTATTTTCGGACGCCGGGAGGCAACGGACCCGTCCTACGAGGACTCTGTCTCGTCTTATCTGGCAGACGTCTGACGTCAGCACCGGCGCTGCAGGCCGGGCCCGGGCCAGCTGCAGCCCGTATCGGGCACAGCAGGCCACGACAGAACTGGAACGGGCTCCGACACAGAAACACCTGCAGCGGCCGGCCCCCACTCCCGGCGGGCCCGGCGGTCGGTTTTCCTCGGCGCCAGATTACGTTTCGCACGCTCATGACGGCAGCGGCCGCCAAAAACGCGGCCGTGATTGGCTGGGAAACGGCTGTTTTTCTGAGGCACGGCGCGGGCCGGCGCGCTGCCGCTGCATCAACCCGGAAGCCAGAGCGCGGCAGGTCACCGCGTCCCGGGGCGGCGCTCGGGGACAGACCATGCACCGCTCTCAGCGACGCCCTCCAGAGAAGGGAGGGGGGGGGGGGCGCTCAGTTAGCACGCGACACTCAGCCAACTCGTTTCCGGCCGGGCGGCGTGAGCGGCCGTAAACCCTGACAACTACGGGCATCTCGTCTGAGGGCGGCGCGCCACGCGCTCGTCAAGGCTCCCAAATCTCGCCCGGGACGTTTACTACCGGCGCTGGAGCCGCCGCTCGGCGCACGTGAGCAGGCGTGCGGACCGCTCGACGGTAACTACCGGCACTGTAGCGGCTGGGACGGAGGTGACAACGAGACAGACCCCATGCCGCCACATGGCGCGGACCCCCGGGACATCCCAGCGCCGGCCGGCGGGGCCACGCGTTTACGGCACCTGACGCGGTCGGCCGGCGGCGGCGCGCTGGTTACCCTCGCCCAGGAGACTCGACCTCGCGCTGATGACAGGCACGGTCCGGACCGCCGCTGCCGCGCCGCTCGTCACCTCTCGCAGGACGCCGGCGGACGGTGCCGGCCGGCCACCAGCTGATGGCGGGCGGCGATCCTCGGAGGCCCGCCGCGTGGCCGCTTATTTCCTCGCCCTCCCGTCGCGATGAGTCAGGCCGGCCACCCTCCCACGCGTGATTCAGCGCCGCGGACCGGCCGGCCGGCCGCCGCTCGCCGCACCACACCACGACCCCACGCTCTCGGGCGGCAGGACGGCCACCAACGACGACGCGATGAGGGGACGAGCGATGAAGCAGTCGCCCTCCTCACCCGGTCACGGACCGCCCTCAGCGACGCCCCGGCGGTCGCTCCGAGCGACCGACCCAAGCCAGGCGCTCACTGCGGGAGTGGTCCGCCACGCGGTCGGCCATCAGCGGTGATTTTTCAGCGCGCCGACGGCTGGTCGCGGCCGAGTTGAGACGGAGCAAGCAGCCGCGCCTTTCGGTCGTGATGCACAGTGACGGCCGCGCCCTCCGTCGCCATGCCGGCCCGAAGGTCGCTCCGACCTGTCGTCAGCCGGCGGCGCGTTTAATTCCATGCCGTTCTCAGTCCACTCCGGGCCCTTCTCAGTCCACTCCGGGCCGTTCTCAGCCCGCTCCGGGATGTTCTCGGTCCACTTCGGGCCGTTCTCAGCCCGCTCCGGGATACTCTCAGCCTGTTCCGGGCGATTCTGTCAGCTCCGAGCCGTTCTCATCACACTCCGGGCGGTTCTGAGTACGCTCCAGGCCGTTCTCAGTCCAATCCCGGCGCGCGGTCTCCGCCCGTCGCGTGCCCGAGGACGGGCGGACGGCCGGTGCTGAGAGCTGTGCAGGGCGGGCCAGCTGGCCGGCTTTGGGCTCCAATCCGGCGGTCAGCGCAGCCAAGGTCGGACAAAAAGCCCGCCCACTGCCGTGTGGCGCACCGGTCCACTGTATGTACTGAACGGAGGTGAGCTGGCTGTTCAGGTCCGAGTAAACAAAGAGCCGCGGAGTGGGGGCATCGCTCGG